TAATGAAATACCTATTTGAAAATGTTCTGTTTTGTTCTTTGTATTTCTTTATTGAAGCTGAATATATATTTTTCGGATCTTTATTTTGAAAGTCAGTCATTTCATGTGAGAGTATGTCATTAATAAAATCATTATTTAGCAATTCTGGCCACAAGCCCACGTCAACATATTTCTCAAACTCAAACTTAATATTCTCTAAATTTCTTTCCGCCTTGGTATTACCGTCCTCTTGCTGAATACCAATATAGTTTTCAGTGGGATCAGAGGGTTTCTGGTAGTCAAGACAGTTATTAGTAAACTAAACAAGTTTGTCATTTTGACGACGAGAGCAGAAGTGCGGGGGGAAAAAAACAAAATTACGTCGGGCGTAATAGACGCGAAAAAATACACTGACCAAAAACAAACGCCAGGTAATTCCTCGTTCCGTTCTATAGACGCGCACATGCATGGGTTGATTGATCTCAGGGTTGCCAACCTTATAATATCTTTTTTTTAATATTAGATATTTTTTTAATTCAAAATATCACCTATTGTTTTCAGTGGGGACTGGGGCCCTTTGTATCCACGGGGCCCTGGGCTGCAGCCCAAAAAGCCCTTAAGTAGATCCGCCCCTGGTAATAATATATATGAATATAATACTATTTTATTTCCAGTCTTTCATTTTAATAGTTTTAAAATAGGAGAATGTGCGTGTGGGACGCAGTAAATTATGAGCGAAAGTTATACTTTGTACACAGAAAAAAAAGTCGTACAGCATCTCGGCATTTTAAGTGTGATGATGAAAGAAGAACTTTTTTGAATTGGCTCTAGAAAAGAAGGCATTTTCGACAAGGTCTAAAAAAAAAGAGGAAGAAAATATCCTCAAATCCCTAAGAAAACGAAAGATCACAGTTCCGATTTAGCAACTTAGTAATAAAATTGCTATAACTTCCCAAATATCTTTTATTTAAATAAAAATTTTCTAATATAACTGTATTTTATTTATTTGAAAATTATTTTATGGTTTATAATTGTGTATGTGGTACGTTATTTAAGTATGATCACACATCTGCTAATAATTCTAATTCTAAACTTCTTTGTAATTTTCCTGGCATTAAAAATTTCGCCGATTTCTATTTAAATAATTTTCTTGCAATATAAACTGTAATACTCTGTATACGGTAATTATTAGAGGTAATAAATGATTTTCTTTAAATCATTTAACTATTTTGATGATTTTGAATATAAAAAAAAAATTCTAGGTGTCGGAAATATCCGAAAATTTGATTATAAAAACAATAGAATTATCACGTCAACGTCAAATGGATGGTGTTCTTTACAGCCTATACTTTGGAGTTACTGTTTCCGGTGTATTTTTAAGTTATTTAGTTTTAAGTTATTAAAGTTTGAGACTCTCTTGAGTAGTATTTTTTATATATGTGTACTTGTTACCTGGTTTATTATTTGTGTCTAAAAATCGCCATTTGAAAAAACGATTCGTCATAAAACACCTTGTCAAAAATATACCAACTTCGAAATTTTAACTTAAATAATAATTTGTAAAATGAACTTAATCTCGCTGCTCGAACAGTATGCTAACACTAACGTATGAGGGGGCGCGCCTTGCAACAACAACAAACAGTAATAAACAAGTATAAAGAGGCCAAATCGGGTTGCCTTAAAAGCGAGTTCTTTCTAAATCTAGCAACCATGTCACCTTTTTTAACAATATACATCCATAAATAACGAAAAAAAAAATTCAGTTCAAACTCACCAGAATTACTTAATATCTTACGAAATACAGCAAATTTTAACTCAGAAATTGTATAATTTATTTCTAAGAACAAAATTATCTGTTTGAAAATATCGCCTCGCAGAATAAACTACAGCAAGCAGCTGTATACTCTCCAACCGGAAGAACAGGGCAAGAGCTCGAGATTGTTGCTGTTTACATTGAAAACAACATCCATGGTAAATACCAAAACCTCCTAGAGGCTTTGGTATTTACCATGGTATTCTCTAGGAGGCTTTGTAAATACTCAGGTGCGGGATTTGAATTTCCTGTAACATATGAGGAATTTAAAAAATCATGTAGAAATATACAACAATAACAGCCAACAAACCGATTGAAACGCAACATGGATTTAGCGCAAATCAAAAAGCAATTGCTCAAATGTGTGATTCGAATTTCTCGTTTCTTAATATGGTATGAAAAAATTGGGATTTAAAAAATCACGTAGATATCCGCAGCAATAACTGCGAAAAAGTCGATCGAAAAAAAAGGGGAAAAAAAACAGTGGTATAGTTGCTTCAAAAAGTTTTTAATAACTACACGTACTGAATTTCGGGCATCATAAAAATAACGTATAAAAAAAAAACAGGGATTTAAAAAAAAAAAAAAATGTAAGAAAATTCGTTGCAGTAATAGCCGATAAAACGATCAAAATACCGCATGGATTTACAATGGTATCAACGCAAAACGAGCGCATCAAAAAGTGATTACTTAAACGCGAGATTCAAGTTTTGCGTGTCGAAATAATATCGGAAATTTAAAAACAATAAAGTGTATTAGCTGCAAAAGAAAAAAAAAGATCAAAACAAGGATTTACGTTAGTAATGATCGCGTTGAAAAGTGATTACTGAAATGGCGCAATTCGAAGTTTCCCTGTCTTAATATCATATTAAAGTTTGATTAATAGTAGCCGAATAAAAAAGGGGCAAATAGATCACATTGATTAAATAATTCTTCTGTTACAAGTCAGAATTTACAACAAAATGTGTACTCAATTTGCAAATTTTATGTCAAATTTATATATTTATTTTTTGCTTTCTAAATTAGTAAATCAATTTTGAGTAGCAAATTGCTACTCAAAATTGCTTTGCTAATTAGAATAAGCGTACGATATTTAAAGGGTCTGTCAATTCAGAATTACTTTTTAGATTATCAATGTTATACTTTTGGGCTTGCCTCAGTTATGCTGCAATGTTTAATTATTATTTTTTTCAGCGTCGTGTTTTCGAAATATATCAGAAGTTGCGTTTTTCTCTATCAAATCTGCATAAAAAAAACGAATTAGCGAAGAATCACATGCCTGCAGACCACTGTCTGCGAATGGACCAAATGGTCAGCTTATTACTAATTATTACATCAACAAATGTCACCATTCAGGATGCACTGATGGTTAGTGTGGAATTAAATGTTCCTATTAAATATATAATTATTACACATATAACGGCAACTGTCCATATCACAGGGGTGATTGTGAGTCCAAGTCAAAATTCCGGAAAAATCCTTGAGTTAAAAAGTTTTTTTTAAAAAAAGGAACAGTTTAACTGAAAAATTAGAAAAAAATTTGAACAAGGTTTTTTTTCCTTTTTCTCAATATTTCTTAGTTCACTTAAAAAAATTCAAAATTTTACACATACCTATACCATTTACACCTGGAGAAGTTATTACCTGGAGAAGTAATCAAAATTTACAAATAGTATGTCTTTCTTTCTTGAGTTTATGATTATAACAACTATTTACTGATAAAAAATGAAAATTAATCATTAATATGAGCTTATAAAGTAGATGATCTCTCTTTCTCTCCCTTACAAACAAATAAAATAAACCGTGTTTTTAAGTTCCACCTTTGAAAATTTGATTTCCGGAAACTTCTGTGATCAATGATTTTTTTAAACGTCTGGACCTTCGATCTCCGGAAACTTCCGGATCACTGTAAGCGAAAATTCCGGAAATCCGGAATTTTCCCGGAGCACAATCAGCCCTGATATCAAATCAGTAAAACTTGCGTATTAAAACAAAAATTTTAAATTTTACTTTTATTAAATTTTGAAATTTTACTTTTTTTTAATTTTGAAATTCATCGAAGTCAAAAGAAAACAAATTTTGACTAGTAACTGTTATTATTTAAAAATGCTTTCATTGTGTTATTAATTAAATGCATCAAGTAAATGTATCAAATTAATTAATTTAATGTACCAAGTAAAATAAGTTGTACTCCGCACTTGAATTTACTGTTAAATATGAAAAAAAAATATATTCAAAGAAATATTTTCTTCAAAATAGATTTAAATATTTCAGTCATAAGCAATAATCATGAAAAAAATTTTTATTTATTTCAACTACATTAAAATACACTAAAAGCACAAATTATTATGTGTACCCTGGACAGCAAATTAAACACTAAGACAGAATCAGTTTATTGTGTTTCAATACATTATCACTTAGTATAGCAAAAGACTTGGCAAATGTTTAAGGATAATTTCTAAAACTGAGCAAGTCCATACCTTTTTGAAAGACTGCCCAGTAAATTTAATAAAAAATTTCCAAATGTCAAATTTCCAATAGATTCTAGTCGCAAGGCCTGTTGTTGCTAACTGTTGTTTTTGACTTGGAACCAGAGAGGGTTGGGAGCCCCTGCCTTAGCAAATTTGAAAAATTAATTAAAAAAAGAAATAGAAGTGTACAGCTTGCTGCTTGGTAAAGAAGCTCATCCAGTTTCAAAATTTGCTCAATAGCTACAAACACCCATTCTGAAAAATTCCCTCAGAACAAAAATTCCCTGATTTTTTTCTAGGCTGATTTCATTGAATTTTGTAGTTGGTGGCATAAATCCTATTAATGTTTCAGTTAAGTTTTATTCAAGAATATAAAATATATTTAAAAAAGAAAAAAATTTTTGCAATTAAAATTGAAAATAAGCAATTTTTAAAAAAAAATATTATTACACTTTTTCGGCAAAAATATTGCCAACCTCAAACCATTTTTCCTACTTTTGGGGTATTTTAATTAAATTCCTGTTATTTCAAATTGATGAAATTCCTTGAATTCTTCCAGTTCTGTTGCCATTCAGGGGTTAGAAAAATGTCAACAGATGATGTTGCTGTTATAGTTTTAAAAGTCGCCATCTGTAGATAAAATTTGTCATCAATTTTGTAGTTTGGTAGGAGTTAATATTCTACCTTCAAAAGCAGAATGCCACAAGGCATACAGTTTGGGCTCTTTCATTTAAAAAAAAAATATATATATTTTTAATTTTTTTTTAATTTATGTTTAAAATAGCTCATTATTTTTGGGAAAGTTTATAAAATTTGTTAAGGCACAGCTTTATCTCCATTCAAAAACTTTTTTTCTTTTTTGTACTTAACACAATAATGAATATTCAATAAACCTCTCTAAAAACTAATTCCTGTTACAAAACCACTACGAGTCCTTTATTTTGGATGGCTATTTAAGAATTGTTACTAAGTTTTAGAAAGCCATCCTTTAGAAGGGTAACATAAGCAACAAAACAAGCAGAGTGGTGGACAATTTGATGCACCATCTGATTGAGTGTTGACTTATTAAACCAATCAATTTTATGTTCCAACTGCCTCTAAGTAAATATAATCTTTTGTGCTTTTAGCGAAGGCAGCTATACAATAAAATTAACAATAGTAAATAAAAATGAAATACAGAAGTTTAACAATTTAGCTCAGCAGTGCACATGAAATTATTTACAGATAAATAATATGTGTGAAAATGGAACTAGAATATTTTAATGAAAATGATTGTACAATAAACACATAAGCATGATGAAGTTACATACAAAATGAGCAAGAGCTTGTAAACCACAATAAATACCATAAGTACAAAAGCAGAAAACATGCACAAACAGTTGTACTAAGACCACACACTATATACATATTACTTTATTTATTTATTGTAATGTATACATAGAATGAAACATTCAATTTCCAAATCAATAATCATTCTCAAAAATATTGCAAAATTAAATTTGAAAAATGTAAATTTAAAAAAAAAATATTACTATTTTTTTTTGAGATGCAACGAATCATATATAGAATTATAAAATAAAAAAGTCAATTAGTACTGACTGAAGATTTCAACATTATATACAAGATTTGAAACTACAGAAAAGATAAAATTCCTGTTTTTTTAATCAAATTCCTATAAACTCACATCAGCCATCGAGAAAGGCAATTTCATCTGGGCATTTAAAAAAAAGCACCTTTTTGAGGAATGTTAAGAAAAGGACCACTGCAAGGTCACACGTAAAGTATATAAGGCGATGAATGAAACAATTTAAGGATTATCTTTAAATATACTACAAGATGCTTTACATATTCCTAAATGATTCATAAAATGTTGTTTTTTTAAAAAATTTATTATTTAGTAGCTAAATAATCGTAAAAAGGCAATTCTCAAAAGATGAAAGCATAACACAAATCTAAACTTTAAGCTCTGAAAATAATTAAATTTTATTTAATTCACAGCAAAAATTTTAAGAATAAATTTATAATTTTGTTTAGTAGCAGGAACATGAACTATTGCAAATATTTTTTTTATAAATACTTAAATGAAATATTTTTTTACAATCAAAAGGGCCAATTATGAACATCATGATGTCAATTGCACCACTGGGCATTAAAAATATAAATAAATGTTTTCGTTTTTTTTTTTCCAAATAGTGTCTAGATGCTTACAACTAAAAATAAGAGCATAAAGTTTAAATAGGATAAAATCCTTAACAAATGACAGCAATAGAAAATAAGTCAAATATTTCTGAAACAAAATGCCACTTTCTTACACATGAAATATTGGATTACCCAAATCATGTAAAGTTCACAACACAGATAGCTTGTTGCAAGAATTTATTGTTTAAGATAATCTAATGTCCTAAAATACAATAAAAAAATATTAAAGTGCTAATTTTATATAAATAGAAAAGTAAATTCAGTAGTGAAGTGTTAATAACATCAATACCAAAAGGATTCAGAATTAACGGCAGTTAATGTTATTGATCCCATCTTCAGAGAAGTGCCCAAAAACAAAGTCAACGATACAATATATCAACATTTGTATGAGTTGTTTTGATGGGACAATTCCTATTTGTAAACTTTAAATAAAAAAAATTTTATGCTTTTGCATAATTTTGAAGTACATTTATTCAAGATTATACTCAATATGTTAAATTGATTTGATGAAAATTGACCAATTTATATGGCATAGAATAACGTTGTTTCCCTCCTATTTCAGTGGTGGTATCTCTCAAGATCTGTGCGAGATACAAAAGCTTTCAGAAACTCTAAATGAATTTTGGCTATTCTATTTAGGTAACAGTTATTAATTTATTTATGATAGAGTGAGTATACCTTAAAAGCTATTATATCAAACACATTTTTGAAGTGTTTGATAACAAATTAGGACTTCACAATATCTTTAATAAATGCATGCAAACAGATTTAAAAAATGTTTATTTTTGAAAGAAAAAAAAATCCAAAAATTCTGGGTTTATTTTTCCTAGAAGAAACTTACACATCGCCCCCTTAAACATAATACAATATAAATAAAGTAAAATTTTCTAATCACATAAAAAAAAAACAATTAGAGAGCAATTAAATTAACCTTTTATCAAGACTTAACTATGACTAATCGTATTAACCAAAAAAAAAATATTTTAAAGTTAATTTTAATTTTGTAAATAAAATGCTTTAAAGAACTAGAGCACCTGTTTACTTTAACTAGTCTTTTTTTTAAATATATATATATTACTTCACACCATATCAGGCATTGATCATTTATACATAGTTCATTTTAATAAAAAAGTGGGGGAATTTTTTTTTAAACCAAATAATTTATGGAACAATTAATTTTTTTCATTTCTTTCACAACTTTTCAAAGCTAACAAAAGCATCTATTAGTGACATTAATGACCTACGGTAGGAAATAAAAACTACATAACATTAACAACCACATTTTCACTTCTCTAAATAAAATATCAAACATTTACAGTAAAACAAATAATTATATAAATACAAACAATACGGATTAGTAAATTTTATATTTCATTTTGTGCAACACTTTTGTAAATAGTTACAATTTAACTCGGGATCTGGGTTCTATGCTGCTGTGGATTACATAATTATATTAAAAAGTGTTGATATCTAAAAGATAAAAAATAAATTCACCTGAGTTATCTAATGTTATAGAACTCAACATCATAGACATCTATAAAAGTGTGCTGGTGTTTGAAATGGTCATATTTCAATGCGTACACGGTGCACATTACCACCTTTTTAACTTTTGAATGACAACAATTTTAGTCATAAAAGTGGTGTCCGAATATAGTAAAAAGTTTATGTGTCACACTTACAGCACCACTTAGAGGAAATAAGAGAACAACATATTATTTCAATAATTAAAGTCCCCTTGTAGACCCTTAAGACTAAGAAGAAAAATAAACAAATTTTATCATGCTTATAACAGACATAACGTTTGTTTAGTATAACTATGACATAACAAAATAATATCAGTTAAAAAAAAAAGTTAATTTACAAGTCTGGAAGCATAATTTTCTGAGCTAATCTGCAGAATCATCTTCTTAATTCAAGGTACGTTACTTCACACAATATAAATTCTGTATTTTAAAGAAGACAATGACGATATTATAATAATAAAGGAAAGATTCTTTCTTCTTTCATTCACTGCAATTCCTTGCCACTTAGTTTTATAAAGGTATGGGGGAAAATATAAACAATGGGTCATCCCCACGGTGCTTAATTTTTTCATGTTGCACTGTTATAAGTCAGAAATAGGTGAAGCTAAAACATGCACATCATTCTGTTGAAATATAATGCAGACTACTCAATAATATTTCTATTTTTTCTGCATGCATTTAAGGGAATTCCTTTCCAGATAAATTGCTTATCACTGCCAGAGCTCTTTTGCAGATATATTGCCATATTATTCTCGCAGAATTTCTTAGCAAAAAATTAAAACCTCAGATGAATCTGCAGATGCTGAGACAATCTGCAGAGTTTCTGCTACCGAGATCACAAGGTATTTTCGATAAACAAAGCTTAAAAATTGAAAATAAAGATATCTTCTAATAAATAGTTGCTTTTTTTAAAATCCCCTATAGATAGTTTTATCATGTCAATATGCAAGAAATCCGGAATAAACAAATGCACGTTTTTTTCGTTACATTAACGTTTATTCAGTCCAAAATGATAATGTTCGACATTATAACTTTGTAATTCACTGCTTTTCCTTGTATCTCATACCTTTTTTGAGATAAAAATAATAAAATTCTACAACCGCCTAGGTCGTGCTGCAAGTGAAAAATCCTTTTACTACAAACTACTTTTATAATTATATTTGCAGAAATGCATAAGTTAAAAGAGTGGTAACAGGCTTTCGTGGGCATCCTGCATATTTAAATTTGTACATGGGACAAATGTTTTTCTTGTACAAAAAGTTAAATGAATTTATTTATCATATGAGTATGAACTAACAGAGTCTATGCAGAGAGTTGACAGAATATTTTCACACATCTCAGGCTAGATAATTTGTTTATACAGAACAATTCAATGATATCCAGTACCATAATACAGTGACAATGAATATTTAAGGATAACAAATGTTTCCAAATATTCATTATCCATGATGATCTATATACAAGAAGAAAAAAAATCATACATTACAAACTAAATGCGTTGTAGATAAATATTACACAAACAGATTAAATTATAATTTAGAATGTTTTTAAAACTAAATTGAAAAAAAAAAAAAGATAACATACCGAAATTTGATAATAAGAAAAAGTAGAGTGGAATAAATTGTCTGGGTGTTATAGAAATAACATAAAGAGTAACAAGATTGTTATACATAACAATTATATATTACAGTTCCTAAAACAAAAATATTTTTTATTAAAATCTTATAAAACAGGGAGGTAATTAAGATAGGATGTACTTTGTACTACAAAGGAATAAAGCTATACAACATGAATAAGCATGAAAAATGTCAAGAAACAGACACAGAATAGTTTTGGTTATATGTACAAGAACCTTCCCAATGGTGAAACAGAGAATACAGAAAATAAACAAGTATCAACAAGGAAAAATTAGTTTAAGCAACAGGGGAAGAACAAGCGTAAACAAAATAATCAAATGAAGAGAAGAAAAAAATAACAGATGAATGGAGGGGTGATAGAGTGTGATCCCCAGATGTACAATTAAATTTAATTATGGTTCAAAAACAATAATTAAATCAAAATAAATTTTTTAAGAAATCTATTTCAATTTTTACATCTTGCAGACCTGGAGTTTTTTTTAATTTTTTTTATCAAACTTCTTTCTTCCACCTACCCTCACATTTTTGCAACTTATCTTCCTTCTTGTATTGGATTATATTGATCAAACTTGCTTCTACCATTTTACTATTGGTTAAATATCTTTTTTCTTTGTTGTTACTTGTTAGTCTCCTGTAATCTTCTGTCATTCTGTGTTTTGACACTAACAGAGTTTCTTGTTTATAGAACTGAAATTATTAAATGTCTGTTTTAGAGCCATTAGATGTGCTTAATTCATATTGTTTAGTTTCGCTGACATTTGTTTATTCTATATGCATATCAAGAAGAATCGATAACTAATCACTACGAAACTCTTTTATAAAAATTATTATTTTAACTACATATAAGATTCTAGTAATTCATTTCAAGAATAAATTAATAATTGTTGAAAGAGTTTTAAAAAAAAGATATAGAAATTCAAAACTACAGTGAAAAAGCTATATCAAACGATATACATTTCGTCACTTTAAGAAATAAAACATTTCAAAATAAAAAATAATTTAAACCCACAAAGAAATGAACCCCTCTAAAAAAGCATAACACCAAATCTCTCTTATAAATTAAATCTAACACTAATAAAGATAGATCATATAAAATATGAATATAAAAATTCCAAGACAATTCAAGACAATTTATTCCACTTATTGATTATTTCCTAATGACTTGATTCCTATACCCTTAATATTTCTAAGCAATTATTATAACAAATAGCAATCCAATCTGGTTGGGTACAAGCCCATTGAATTTGATTTATTTCACCATCTGCAGTATAGGCTAAAATAGGATCTTCTATAGCTCTTGGCATTTGCTGTATATCCCATATTAATGCTTGATGATCATCAGCTGTAAATACAGGAATTGTTCATTAAAAAAAAATTCAAAAACTTTAACTAAATTATAAACTTAACCATTCAAGCAGGGTTCTCACTTAGAAAAAAATATTTAAGTAAATAAAACATTATAACATTTAATAGTATAATCATATATAAATATTTAAGCTTTTATAAAACTCATTAAAAAGATTTTTAAAAAAAAGTTTCCTGATTTTTTTTAATATTTTAATGTAGAAAGTGGCCATGTTCTAAGTTGTTAAATAATAGATAATAATAATTTAATACTCAACTGACATATAAAATTGTGTAAAAAATTAAATTGTAAAAAAATCTAACTATTTTAGAATTATAACAATTCATTACACTGTAATAAAGAGTAATTAGGATCAGAAATAAACTAAAAGAAATAAGGCTGGAAATCAGAAAAAGAATTATTGCTCATAATTGCTGTTACTCAGTTTAATACCATTATTTTTGTTGGTAGCTACACTTGTCACACATTTTAATGTTCTCTTTTTCTTCTACAGATTTGACATGTACCATTTTTTCTTTTAATTATTACAATTTCTATTTAGAAATATAATTTATCTGAACTTTAAAAGAGATATCTTTTAAATAAATGTTTTTTTTCTTTTTTTGGTAACTGATTTTTAAATTTTATTTTCAGTAGTGCAGTGGTATGACAAGTGTCTTAAAAAATTTTTCTAAAAATAAAATTACAAAAATTTATCGAGCTAAACTAAGCAAAAACTACTTTTTTATTTAAATTTTTTTTTTTAAAAAAAATTAAATATTTTGTAATTAAATAGCATCCACAGCCTATTTCAGAAAGAATTATAAAAAAAAATTTTCTTTGAAAAACCCGAATTAGTATCATTTAATTAATTATTCTTATTAATAAAATTTACCTATTATACTTGTTTGGATTGCTTATTTATTTTTATATCTATAAGTTTTCAGGTTTATTTTTGAACTAGAAGTTTGAATTTCACCTTCGAAAATGACTTTAGTGCTTATTTGGTAACTTTAAATTATAAGTAAAATTTTCTAAATTAGAAGAAATATATAGTAATTCAATTAAATGTAAACGTTTTTGAAAAATACTTTTGAACTTTTTTTTTATTAAATAATAAAAAACCCTAATTTAAAAAAAAATTAGAAACAAGAACTTTAATTTCGGATCCTTAATTTAAAAATAATTTTATTCTTGTACATATAGTTAAAAAATGATTGTATAATAAGACTAAAAACACATCACACGACCTTGGACAAGCACCTATAATAACCCTTGGCTCCTCAACAGTAAAGAGTGCAATGCTGTCATAAAAGAGCTATTATAACATATTAACTTGCTGAAGTGTTCAGCCTTTAATATTTCAAGAGCATCTTACCAGCAGTGCAAATATGACAGGATGAGTGAGGCGCCCATGCAATTCCATTGACACAAGCACGATGATTGTTTAGACGTGCAACAGGGGCACACGGAGAACGTACATCCAGAATTATAACCTTAAATAAAAAATAATAATTGTAAAATCATAGCTTCAATTGTAAAATCATAGATGTAATGAAAAACTAAAAAAAAAAATATTACTTTAAAAACAAAAATTCAAACTACAAAAAAAATAAGAGCTTTATTTTAATAAACTTAAGGCATTTCTTCTACTGGCAACATTTGTCCAATAAAAATATTAATCTAAAGTAGTTGACACCAAATCTATTAACAAAAATTAGACAATTAACATGCATTAGACTATAACAACACAAAATTTTTATAACTGTATCTACTAAAGTTTAGTTACTACTTAGTATGAACAGTTAATAAAAATGTCCTTTTTAAAAAATAAAATATAAATATTTTATTTCCAAGCTTTAATACTTAAATTCACAAGGCTTTGCTCAAAATTAAATCTTCACCAGTAATAACTTGTCTGTGATAATTCAAATATTTCCTTTCCCAAAAGTATCTTATTTTATTTTAAAATAAGTAATGTAATGCGTTAGAAACTAATTGAAAATGCAAAAATTATTCAAAGATTATAGCTATCTTTATTTTGTTCAACCATTATCAATTCATTATAATTCAAATATTATAACCATCTTTGTCAAACATTATCAATTTGATGTAATACAAACTCTATAACCAACTTTATTTTCTTCAATTATAGTCAATCCAATATTACATAAAGGTCATAAACACTCTAATCTTCTTCAACCATTATCATACAAAGATCTCTAGAGCTGTGGAATCAGAATTTTGCAGGAGAGAGAGTCGGTGTCTAAAAAATTTGCCCAACTCTGGTTCGTTTGAAGTTCTCAGGCACTTACATTTAAAGAGGAAAAAGTTCTTTTTCAATCTTATGAAAGTTGAGATAAATACAGTTAAATTTAGATTCATCGTTCTCACATCTATCGTTTTCCCAAATGTATCACTTGTTTTGACAGTCTCTTTACAAATGCTATTCTTATAATGTTAATAAAATCTGTTGAGATTGTTTTGGTAACCAGCAGGTTTCCATGTCCCGCATTAAGAAATTCATCCAATATTTTTTTTCTTTAAAAAAAAAAGCTATTTTGGATTAAAAAGAAAAACAGAAATGTCTGAAACTAATGATGAAGAAAATTGTAATTGATTACAATTTGGTAAAAACATCCAAAACATAACATTTGATGCTTATGCATCAGTTGACGAAAATGTTGAAACTTTGTTCATTTCAAGAAATAGTTACAGATAGCAAAGTGATCCAGATGAAGAGGAAGAAACGGAATGACAACCAATCTCAACATCAGTGGAAGCCCTCAAAACCTTTGTAACAATGAGGAACTTTCTGTATTCACTCGAACTTACAAAAAAAGAACACAAACTGATACAGATGTCAAAAATTTATTGTTTGTGCTAAGAAAATTCTTTTCTCAAATCAAAATTTCAACAATTTTAAGTAAATAAATGTGTTTATGCAGCCTACTTTTGCATTCTAATTATTTTTACAGCTAGTACATAGTTTTTTTCCAATTAAAATTTTTTATACTTGTTGTAAACATATTAATTTTTATATCCATTCCTTGATATTTTAGGTTGACCCGCATTTATCCTTTTCCCATATCTATTGTTCACGATGAATGATCCTATAAAAAATGATCAATTGAGGTTCTATTTATTTATGATTATGGGAACAAAAATATTACACAAATAAATATTATGACAATTATTTAAATTACAATTTATTGCAAACTTAATTTATCACACTTGAACATTTTTGGATGTTCTTGACTGATTTAGTGAATCAGTGACTTGATTGAATAATAATAATAATAAATAACTTTATTAGAAAGTTATCTATTGATTCATAAGTTCAAAAATTAAATGTGTTTAAATAAGATAAAAGTTTAATTAAATAAGATGTGCAAATTAATGCAAAATATCTGCCAACATTGGAGAAATTAAATAACAGAGATTTTACTAGCAATTAAAGATTTACATTCAAAAAAGAAATTCAAAATTAGAAATAATATAAGCACTTACATTTAGCAAAGTAAAAAATATGTATGTAAATCTTAATCTAAAGAAGATTTCTTTAAACCATTATTTATAATTACTTAAATTATTAACACTCAACAAACTGCAGTACTGGCAATACCACTATCTGTTGAGGAAGAAGAGAAATATTTTTGCCTTCAGCATATATTTTATCGCCAATTTTTTAAATTTCTTCAACAAATACAGAGAAATTTAAGAACATAAAGGTAAACAGGAGATAGTTAAAAAATACAGGGGCCGTCATTAAAAAATAGGAGACAAGCCAGGTATGATACAATGTATCATTTGAAACATAACATTTGCAATAAAAATAAACATTTGAACATAAATTTACTTATCACAATCACAAAAAAACAAGATACTAATAGCAAAAACAAAGCAATATTCTTACTTCAGAAGCATCCATAGCAAATGTTGCTAAATAATTAGGATCCTGTTTATTCCATGCAAGTCTTAACAAAGGGTGATGTTGTGGATCTTCATAAATTATAGTAGAATGCTCCAAATGTCTCAAATCAAACATCCTGACAGATCCATCAGCGCCTACAATAATAAAACATGTTATGGTATTAAAATTATTTAGTTTTTTATGGTATTATAATTTACATAATTGAAACATTTAATTTGGTTAAGTTATTAATGTTACTCAGCAACCCTTACATTAGTCATAGGTGCCAACACAAAGAAAAGTTTAGTAAATTTTACAAAATAATATACACATGGTTGCAAAATATCCCATTTATTTTTTGTAGAGGGAATTTCAGTGTTTTTTTTATCATCAATAAAATACAAAAACTTTATTTCATTAATAACTATAGATGAAAACACTAAAAAAAAAAACATTTTCATTTATGGTTGACATTAAATGGTCTTGAATTCAAAAAGATTTCACTACATTTAATACACATATTTATCAATTCATAATTTTGAATATTTGATTCATTTAAATACTTTGATATTATTTAGTTAGTTTAATAAAGAACTGTTAATTTTTTTCTTTTAAAAAAAAGCTTCAATCTGATTACTCTAAATATGAGATTTATTTCATTATTTATCATATAACTTATTCAAATGTACATGCAAAAAAAATAAAATAAATTATTAAAATATCTAATTGCATAAGAGTTTTCCCAATTTCAGGAAACTTTCTGAATTTTAGGAAATGTTCTAAAATTATCAAAGCAAAGTAAGCTAGCAAAATTCACCACTCAACTTTGCATTATTCTATTTAATTAGTCATTCAGTTATTCAATCCTAACCAGTAATCAAGTTATCGAATCAGTTGTAAAAATGAATTATTTCAATTTTATCCCAGTAAACATTTTTCAGCTAAATTAAACAAAATTATTTTACAACCATACTCACCAACACTAGCAAACATATCCTTTCCCCCTCCAGCACGACTAAAAGCAATGTCATATACCTCCTTGTCATGTGCTATCAATTGAGTTTTAACGTGACCATTGACCAAATTCACTCGACCAATTGACTGTCCTGTCTTTAAAAAATATACATTGGTAAATAATAACTATGGCTAATATAGAAATACATCCTCAATTTACAATTTTCAAACTGATTTAAAAGTTTCTTTAAGCAAAATTTATAATCAGCAATTAATAATGTAGCAATAAAAGTCTGGTTAGATCATTATTTTTAATTACTGATAACTATTGCAAGAATTTTTAATTTTACAATAGGTGACCTTGTGTTTTGAATAATAATGGTTAAGTCTAGATTTTCTAAAAATATTGCAGCTAAACAAAATAGGGATTAGGCATTAAACCAAGAAGAATCTATTTTATGGAGTTATTTAATTAGTACAAGCTACGTAATAGGCAGAATTTCCCAATAATTAAATATAAGTGGCTCTGGAACTTTTTTTCAAAGTTTATATTACATTAGTAACTACTTACTAAATTAAAATATTGTAATTTACTCTGGTATTGTTTACCACATAAATAATATTTTGTCATATCAGTATATTTTTATTTTTTAACTTTATTGCAGATTCAAGTATAAGTTTGGTAACAAATTGCATTGATTTAATTTTAATATGGCGTTGTTTTTAAATTAAGTATTGAATTACATTCAATATGGCATAGTTTTTAAATTAATTAATAATTGTTAATTAGATGAGTTGTATTATATTAATTTAATCACTACCTCTTTATGTAATTCATGTCAGCAAATATGAGTAATTAGATTCTGGTTTTTTAAACTTAACCATTTTTAAATATCTTATGTTCACAATACATAAATAATTGTTACTATTATTCATAAAAACAATTGTACTTATTTTGAAAAATTGATAATTACTTGGATTAATTATTAATTTAATTTAATCATTTTATGTTTAACTTATTCTCATCTTCACAATTTTATTTCTTTTTTTGTAGGCAGAAAAATTTTGAAGCTTATTTTTCATAGCTCCCGCTCACATTTAAAATTCGTTTCTCATGGGGATGTCCGTGTACTTGTACTAGCCCACTAATTCAGAATTCCTCTCAACATGTTAAACCCACTGTCATTAGCTTGTTAAAATCTGCTAATGCTTAACACCTAACATGACACGCTGTTTGTTATCTTTAAATAACTAGCTCTTGTGTATGCATAATTTGAAGGTTTAAGAATATTCTATTTGTGGTTAAAGTCATGTAGCTTTTTTTACCTTTTTTTCCTGTCAAGTTTTACAAGCTAAACTTTTTTACTTAAATATTATTCAACTCAGAAGCATTCCTATGTCAATCAATAATGTATTCTCGCCAATCTTACACCATGTTTAAAAGGTAATGTTTTTGCTTCAATCTTGTCACTTACGTTTTTTTCAACTCCTTAAGTTTTTTTTTTTTCTTTGTAACACACAGTTGAAGCTTTGTATAAATTGTTTGTGTTCCCATGTATGGCAACACGTTTTTTTGGTAAGCAAAGTTGTCTTCTTTATCGGAAAACATATCTTTTGTTTACTTGAAAAACATATCTTTGGAAAACATATCTTTTGTGTGAATGAATAAATGCAAATTTTCTGAAGTAAAATGCTTTTCATGTTATTGAAATTATCAACTTTCAGTGTAGGTGTGTTCATAGATGTTTGAAGCGTGAGTAAGGCTAATTTTTTTGTGAATATGTTTTTTTTTCAGAAAAAAGTATTCTCAATTGTACCTAGGTATTTGCTAATAGCAATTATTAATATGAACAATTGTGATGTTTACATCCAAATTCTTTAAATTTTTAAAAACTAACTGTTCTTTAATATATCGGTCGATTAAAAAAAATTTTTCCTAAGATAATTTAATAATTTACTTTTCACTTCACTATACTTACAAATTAAATAAATCAAACATATATACAGTAAATAAATTTACTTCAAGTCCCCAAATTGTGCAGGTTGTATCAATGCTAGATGTACCAAGTAAATTTGGTTCAACTTCATTCCAGTCAAACGATGTTAATGGTGCACAAAAATCAGAGTTTTTATTCTAAAAAGAAATATACATATGTATAAATTATAATCATTTCAATAAATAGAACATTTCTAAAAATAGAACACACATTAATGTTTAAAAGAAATTTAATATCTTCTTAAACCTTTAAAAAGACAACATCTGAATGAAGCAATTATAACAAAATGTTTTAACAATTATGTTACGTTATTTATAAAGTAGCTTTCAATTATTAAAAATAATTTATCTAAATATAAAATTATTCCTTAAATATTTTAATTATTTCAGAATTAAATTTTACCTGTTAGTAATAAAAATTAAACATAGGACGTAGAAAAATAAACTTAATGATTTTGAAAAAAAATTGTACTTTTCATTGGTAATATTAAATTAATGAATAGCAAAGCAATAAAGCCATTAAAACTAATATGTTGCAGTGAAAAAAATAATTTTATGGATTCAAATAAATATTATATATCAATTGAAAAGAAACCATCGTACAAAAAACAAAAATTGTTAGTAAGAAATTCCATCATAAACAATATTGTCAATTTCCAAGGTCAAGAAAAATATGGCAAAAATCGGAGACTGCTCACATTGTAGCAATCCTGAAAGGACAGAAATTTGGTCCTCTTTCTCCCACATACTTTATATTTTTACTCATCCTAATTTACTTAGGGGCTTCTCGAAAATTATGCTTGAGGACAGATTTAGTTCTCTTCAGAATGTCATTTTATTAAAAATTCTCAGAAATTATCAGATTTTTAATATTGAAAAGGAATTTCTTTTTTCATGAAGTAGAAAAAAATAGATATTTTTCAGGTGGATTCAAAAAGGCAATGCTCTCTTTAACAAACAGGAAGAATTTTTTATTTTCTNAAAAAAAAAAAAAAAAAAAAAAAAAAAAAAAAAAAAAAAAAAAAATACTGAATTTAATTTTTAAATGCTGTAGTTTAATTTTTAAATGCTGTAGTTTGATTTTTCAAATAGTTTTAAAATGTAGAGTATGGTTTAAAAAAAAAACTGAATTTTTATAAACAAAACACTCTTAGTAAAGTTGTAAGTTATTCTAATTTTCTGAATGGATGGTAAGCATTAATTCTAAACATTTTAAATAAAGAAAATTAATATTCGTATACTCTAAATATTTCAATTAAATCTACAATTTTATGCTCCATAAAAATTTTAAAAGAAAGTAATAATAATTCAGCTAGAGAAATTACATTAAAAACAAAAAAAATATCATATAAAAGCCTTCTATTTTTAATTGAAGCTCTTCTAAACAGATAAAATTATTTACATTGTTTAATAAACATTCTAATCTGGTCTCCGTTTCTCCAGCTCGCCATACTCTGAGGTAATCTCCACTGGTCGCAAGAAGGTCAGGACATATTCCTTTACTATCAGGTACCCACATAATCTTTGTTGTTGGATATGGATGATCAAAAGTACTTTTTGCTGTAAACTCAGATGTTTCTTCATCTAATGAAACTAGTTGTACCTATTTGATCCAATGAAAAGTTAATAATTATCTGTAAATATAATTTATAGCAGTAAAATTCGCTAGAAGTTGTATAACATTTATTAAACGTTTTTGCTTTCATTTTATCAATTACATTAATTATTAATAATTTCAACATAATGAGAAATATTGTTGCGAACCTTATTATTATATTCTTCTATAAAACTTCCCAGTGCCAATCTGAAGCGCTTGTCAGGACGAACACTCCAGTTCATACTATAAACAGTCCATGGAGCTTCATATTTATATATTTCCTTCCTCTTGGGAGGAGCCGAATGTACGGCCATTTTGATTTCTTGTTATTGCCTGAAATTATAATTTTTTCAAAATATACTTTATTATATATAATATGTTAATTATATTATACCAATTTATAAAAATTAATTTTTAATTATGAAATTCTAGAAATCTTAATACAAATTGATGTCGTAAATTTGTTATAGTTTTATACCGTATCAACAATGATATTCAAATTTATTGATCATCATAAAATTTGTTTTTGATGACTTTTTTTTAAAACACTTTTTATAAAATTGACATTCATGAAGCAAAATTTATTTTAAAGGTCATTTATAATGCAATTAAGGACATTATAACTCAGGGTTTAAGCTGAGTCTAAAAATTCATTAGCAAAAAAGCTAAAATCTGAAAAAAAGTTTCAGCAAAATGCTAAAATGCCATTAGGCTTATAAAATTACTTTATATCAAACAAGTACTGTAAGTTATCTGACAAAGAATAGNTCAAATTTATTGATCATCATAAAATTTGTTTTTGATGACTTTTTTTTTGAAACACTTTTTATAAAATTGACATTCATGAAGCAAAATTTATTTTATAGGTCATTTATAATGCAATTAAGGACATTATAACTAACTACATAATTTATAAAAAAAATACTGTAAAACAATTAATAATATATATATTTTTTTAGATTCTTGAAAGTAACAAATAATTAAACAGCTTTTTTTAAATTATATTGCGAACCATGAAGAAATACATAGCAATTCATTTTACAGATATAGTGTGACAAATTTAATTTAAGAAACATTAAAAAATGAGAAAACTTTAATCAGATCAAATTAAGATTTTAAAATCAATCAATGCAATTATTACAGTTTCTCCATTAGACACATACTTTTTTGAAAAAAAGAAACATAATTTATTGTGATGTAAAAACAAATCAAAGCTTTTCTAGTTAAATAATTAAAAAATTTGATAAAAAAATATTAAATACTAGACAAAAGTAATTAAAATGAATAATTTCATGGTTACTTTTGTTACATGTAGTGTGGTACTGCACATTGATTTGTTTTTGCTTTTCATTTTAAATTGAACAATTTTTAGCAGAATATCAAAGAATGTATGCTTTTCATATTTATGCAAAAAAAAAAAAAAAAAAAAAAAAAAAAAAAAAAAAAAAAACTTGGTAAATTTTTGACAGCTTTATAGAATGGTGAAATTAAAACACGTTATTCTGGTTACCTGAGAAGGACATGAAGAAATAATAAATTTACATAAATGATTCCTATTATCCAAATTATAAACTAAAATCTTTTTATTTTATGTTCAAGAAAGAAAGGTGAACTTATTAAATAACAGTAACTTTCAACTTTTTCATATTCTTTTTGCTCAATTTTTAGGCCAGTTCCTGTTGGCTAGCAGGATCATTATGTTTATGAAGTCATAATAATAATAATTACAATAAAAATAGCTATTACAAAATAATAATTTTTACATTAAAAAAATACTTAAAACAACATATGTTTAGCTTCATACTGTTAGTCATTCATACACTTTATATGTAAGTAATATGTGAAAAAGAAAATTAAAAACCAAAAATACCTATCGTTTTAAGTAGCACAAAAACCTTTAGAAATCACATTTATTTAATTAGTAATTAACAAAAATCAACCAATAAATAACAACAATTAATGGAAGTAAAAAGGGGGAAAGCAAAATTCTGAGGGTTATCAAGATTCACTTTAGTCATAACAAATTTATAAAACAGAAAAAGGAACACTAAAACAAATTTAAGTTTCTAAAATTATTAAGAAAAATCCTTTTATTGTAAACATTGGTGACAGTAATACTAAGGGGAAAGTAAGATTTTGACAAATATGAAATTTTATAGTAAAATAGATTTAATTATTTTAAAATAACAGTGATTTTCTCCGAAACAATGAAACCAATGCAGAGGGAAAAACAACATTTTGACAGTTATCAAATTATATAATAAACAAGCTTTAGTTCATATTAGACACATATAAATGGTATACATATCACTGACTTAGATATATGCAAACATATAAGTGATCATAGAAGGACAAATGATCTTATTAAAAAAAATAGGTTTTTATTCTACTACAAGTTCTCTATAATGAACTGTATGCTTAAACTATGGATCAAGTAATTAATACTATTAATTCCACAAAAATAAATTTAACACAGATAAATTAGATATCTTTTTGTAAATCTATTCTTTTTCCATTAGTGATAATATATAGGTCATCGTAAAAAAAGCAAACAGTATAGCTCAAAATGTCTAAAGTATAACTAAAAGTATCATGTCGGCAACTTACAACTTCAAAAGAATCTAAAATCAATTACACATAACAAAGAAGAACTATCAAATAATAGCTGTTCCTCTTTTAATATATCACAATATTTATATTTTGAAACAAAAATGCTCGGATTAAATCATTATTGACAAATTATTTATAAAAATTTTCAGTTGTAAACAATCACAATCGCTTGAGAGAAGACGGCATTAATAAAGGTTGCCATTAAATATTACTTTATCGATAGATTGTTAAACAAAGTTCACTGAATTATTTTCTTAAAGACTCCAGTTTAACTTAATTAAACGGTAAAAAAATTTTAAGACTGTCGTAAAATATTTTCTGGAAATAGTTTTGTTTCTTAAAATTGTTAGTTAAGTCTTTGTTTGTGTGCTAACTATGTCGTCTTTTAGCAAACACAGATAGTTAATACCCTTACAGCTTACAAAAATAGGTAGCCGAAGACTTTGTCTGAGAGGAATAAATAATCGGGGCTTAACAATCGTCATTCGTGATTGTGATTTCAGTAACAAAAATTTCTTGACTGAAAAGAAATGTAAGTATCAAAATTAATTCTTTACATCTCGATTTTTCTTTTCTATGCCCTTCATACTTGTCATTCATTAATTATTTGAAAAATATTCTGTATTTCTTTATTCAGATCGTAATGTAAGTAGTATTTTAAAATATACAATGATGGATTGCTTTTTTGGGATTATTTCCATAACGATACCCATTCGTGCCAAGGCATCAAAGGGTTTGTTTAACTTGCAAATATTTTTGAAAGAATATTTGAGGTTTGTCCCCAAGTAAACTGTTAGCATTGTGTTAGTTCAGGTACCGATACGAAAATCTTCCCTCATAACATGTACAAAATCTATTTTGTTTGAAATTTTTTATTTACTTTCATATACATGTTGTATATGTACCTTCTGGGAAAAAATTGCATATTATAGTCAAAAAGTCTTATTTCATGTGATGACAAAGTTTACAAATAAATCCTTGGATTGTAAAACATAAAAAATATTGTACTCTTTTTGGAAGATTTCTGTTGTGAGATTTGAGGCAGAATAATCGCCAACTCTTGGCAGCAACCTGGTGGTTGTCCGTGAGATACTGAAAAGAAGATTTTTTTAAAGGGGGTCAATTAGAAGGGTACAACTCATAGCAAACATTTACCTGATTTTTTTTTTTAAAAATTTTAAAGTTTAAAATCTATTTGGCACCTTCGCAATTGTAGATGGTGCAACAGATCACAATACAAAAATATCCCCCATGCTTAGAAAATATATCTAATATGCTGTTCTTTAACTTTTATTTTTGCAGGCAAATGATTAAGTTCTTCTATAATTAAGTTATGTATAATTAAGTTATAATCAATTGATATCAGAACTGACTTTGTGCTGCTTTTTCCCCATGGAAAAAAATTGAGCATTCCTATTGTCTTATCTAAGCCCCATCTTATTTGTAATTTTTATTCTGATAAAATTTGAAATAATATTATAACTTTTTATAAAACTCTTACCAATTTTAACAGCAGGGTTAAAAAAATTTTCTCCGGTAGCTAAAGCCAACTTCACTGAATGGCTTGCATGAAAAAATACCTGCTTTATAAATTTATAATAAATCTTAATGGTCAGTGAATAGCTTTTAGAAAATATAATCTAATATTTTGGAAAATATAAATAAAAAAATATCCCTTGCAAAATTTTGTAATCTTTATATTATAATTTATGTTAAAATTTTAAAATTATGTTAAAAGATTTAGCTATAATTTCAGAATAATTTATAATTTTGAATACATTTATTTCAGAGTAATTTAAAATTTTGTTGTAAACTCTTAGTCATACATTTAAAGTTAATGAATCTAAAAAAAAAAAATTTTCCTTCTCCTTATTTAATTTTAAATTGTAAAAAGGAAACTTTTTAAGCTTTCTTAATATTGATAGAAAAAAATGTTTTGTTACATAAAAAGTACAGTTCTAAGATTCTCCTCCTTCTTTGGGTGCAGTTTCCTGTCCACTCAGAATCCATTTCCTGTCAACTGGAATACATTCTGATATGTCTTATCATTGTTGTCTATTACATTTCTTCCACTAAGTTAAAATCTGTGGGTTTTTTTTTTTAATTCTTTAAAGTCAGTCTGTAATTTATTTATTTTCAAATTTAGTTATTAATCTAATTATTTATATTTTGAAATATTCTAAAAATAAAATAGTGTAGGTATCTTTATGTCAGTGTAATAATTAAAAAAAAAAAAAAATTCTGTAATAAAATTAATGTTTTGACTTAAAACTGTTATAATTAACAGTATTCATAGTTTATTTTAATTGCTTTTTAGTAATTTTTGTAACATAATAGAAATATGTTTAGTTTTTTAATTATATAATTTTAATAGAAGACACCATGATCTAATTATTTCACTGTAATATTTACGAAAAAGATCAAATTTTAATAAACAAAATTATTCTGAGTGCATACGCCTTAGGAAAATCCTAGAGATCCTTGAAAACCGAATCTTGGTTTTCTTAACTCTGGAAAAAAAATCTTTTTTAATTTAAAAAAAGAAAAGAAAAAAAAAGGCCTGGAAAAATCTAAATTTCTAGTCTTTTTCTTCTTTTTTTAGAGATTTTTTTACCTGTAATTGTATTTGTTTCTTAAACCCCTTTATACCAAATTTGTTTGTCTTCCAATGTAAATTAATTGTGAAGCAATTCTTATTAATGCAGCCATTTTATCTGGGAAAAAAGCTTTTCTTGTTATTTAGTAAAAATTTAATTACTGTTATATTTAAACAATTTTTTAACTAGCAGTTATTACTTTTATGAAGATTTTGATTTATACTTTGATGTGTAGTAAAGGATTTTAATTTTTTTCAAGGTTTGTAAATAATTAATAATAAACCGTCTTGTTTGAAATTCTTAAAAACGTTATGAATTTTTTATTTCCACTTGAAAGTTTGGATTGTAGGTGCATCAAAATGTTGCATATTAATGCAATTATAAATAAAATGAAACTAATATGCATGTATATTGATGTGTATTAACTTGAGATTTTTTCATACTTTTAATATTTTATTACAATTTTTTGTCCATCGATATTATCTTCATTTTCTTATTACAAAATTCCAGTTATGATATTTTGTATTACTACATGTATTATTATATTCTTACTCAGAGAATCCTCCCCCCAGAAATGTAGTATAAATCTTGTTACTACCCTTCATAGAAAATAGTTTATAATTTATGGTGCATTATTTTAATTAGTAAATGATTGCTGTGATAAATATTTTTTTCACCACAAAAAATCTTGACTAAATAAATTTTAACATGCTTATGATTATATTTACTTCGTCAATATTTTATTTTTTCCAGGACTATATAATTATGTATTGTTTCTCATTTCCCAAAACAGTTTCTTTTAATCATGTTTTTGTTTAGAATTTTTTAAAGAAAAGTATAATATTTGTTAAAAGGTTATAAGACTGCATTTTTTTTATATAGTATTTTTTATGTTAAGACTATTTTGTGAATGCTTTTATAATTTTTGATTAAATTTCAATTTTTCTAAAATTTATTTCTTGTTATTAAAAGGTGAAGATCTCTATAAAGCCTCAATTATGCTGATTGTTTATCTATTTTCACCAAAACTGAATTTCAATAAGATTAGTACGATGTTTTTAATGTAGTGATGATTATATAATCGATTACATTGGAAAAAAAATTCTGCCAACAAACTTTTTGATAACTACCATTGTACCAATTTATTATAATGTGTGTCAAACTTTTCTTATGTACATTGCTATTGAATTTCTCAACTTTTATTCAACTTATTACTATAAAAACAAATTTAGTTTTTTTAACAGATATAAAGTAGATGGAAAATAAAACTAAAGTGAGGTTCTGTTTCTTATCTTCTTAATGCATCATATAATTTTAATGATGTTTGCACAAATCAATTGAAAATTCATTTTATTTACCTGACAGATGGAGATTTTAGCTGGACAAACTCTTGTAAAGAGAGATCAGAGCAAAATTGCTGCTGATGAAGCTTTAAAAGATAAAGAAGTTATTGGTTTATATTTCTCTGCCCATTGGTGCCCACCCTGCAGAGGATTTACTCCCATTCTTGCTGATTTCTATGAAGAAGTTAGTGATAAGCCTTTGGAAATAATCTTTGTTTCTTCTGATAGATCAGAAGATGCTTTATTTGATTACATGAATGAAGCTCATGGCGACTGGTTGGCGGTACCTTTTGGAGCACCAATTACTGAGTGAGACTTTTTAACTTATTATTAAAATAACTATTTAAAAGCTTATAGAAACTTATTTTTAATCAATTCCTTTGCAGATTTAGATTATACCATTCTTGTATTATGTAGTAGTGAATAGATAATATCAGAATTAGAATATTGACATATCAAACATTACTATTTATTCTGTTATTAAAATAATATCAGCGTTTGCAGTCCTTCTAATATTTTTCAATTTTTGTATGCATTTGGAAAATCTCATTTTCAATTAATACGAATTCGGATTTTAAAATACTGTATTTGAAGACTCTAAAGAAAGGGTTTTTTTAATACAACTTTTTATTTTAATAAATAATGCTAGTAAAAATTGCAAAATTCAAATAGGAACTGTTCACTTAATTACTTTTCCGCAAAAATGTTAAGTAGCATTTTCGTTGTGTTTTCTTTTTGAGATTATTGAAACTCAACTTTAAAATTACTTTAGCTTCATTACAAATTTTACTTAAACATTGGTGAGAGGGAATACTTACTAATCAATACTGGTTACTTTTTTAATGCAACAGTAGGTACTATAAAAATCTATATGTTAATTGCAAACGATGAGTTAGAGCAGACTGCCCTTTGATCCTTATAGATGCACCTTCTTTTTAAAAATAAACCACCATCCCTTAACACTCCCTTTTTATTCATATTCCATTTTTAAAAAATATTAATTCACTATTTAAATAATAATTACACATTAGCTGAATTACGCATTAGCTGAATTACGCATTAGCACAATTGTGTACACACACAGTAGTAGCACAGTGTTTATAGGTTTAATTCTTATAACTTACAAATATTTACTTAGTTAGGATTATTCTCAACTGGATAAATTTGTATAACTTTCTCTTTTTGGGGAGAAGGGTATATTAATAAATTTTTAAATGTTCAATTTCTTATAATTTTCAGTTAAAATTTTAGAAAAAAGCTTTCAAGTTGTTCATCAATTAATCTCTTTTATAGTTTACTTTTTTTTAAAAGACAATTATGCACAAAGATTCTCTTCTAGCATTAATCTACAAATTTTTCTCTTATTTTGTTGATAATGAGTAAGAGTTGCTTTTTAAAATATAAATATAAAATAATATAAGAACGTAATTTATTTAAAAATTGATGAGCAATTCAGTTATCAATTATTCTATTGTTCTTTTGTGCCCAAGTTAGTCTGAAATTTTTTTAATTATGAGTGTTATTATCTTGTATGGTATTTTTGTGCCTTTCACTGTATTATGTCCATTTTCTTTTGGCAGATCAGAATCTTTATATTGAACATAGACTGTACAAAATATAAATAACACAGAAAAACTGCATGCATTGCAAATCTTGCCATATGTACAAGCAATATAACTTAGCTTTCTTAGATCTTTTAAACTTCATTGTTTTTCTTAAGTCAAGTCAGATTATACCCATTTATTTTGTTTTTTGTTTCAATAATATTTATGTGGCTTGATAATCACTGAGGTCAAACTCCTCTTATAAATCATAAATAATTTTTTAAACCTTAAAAACGTCCTATATTACCAAAATAGTCCTATAAATCCTACTTTTACCTATACAACGATGTCATTGAGCACAAATTTACAGATTTTACATCGTTAATATTGTGTGAAAAATTTGTATAATCTACACTGCATATCTTAAGATTTCTTGCAAATATGTTGCATCACGTAGTTGTAAATTGAATATTCTGTCGTAAAAGTTACAAATAAGTGGAATCTTTTTGTAAATGATGACATATGTACTAGAAGAGAGTCACTCTGGAAATTTCTTGAATCCCATTGATCATTTTTGGAACAAAGTTTTTGAATTAAAATATAATCAGGATATCTTTCCCCACACAATCATCTAGCAGTTCTCGTCAAAGATTGTCTGACATTTTCCCATAGGCCGGCATTAGTTAAAAGAGGTTTTCCGATTAAAAGAATTGTCACATCTAATAGATCAAGAATGAGCCTTAACACCTTAAAAGGCATAAAAATGATAAAAATTACTGCAAAAGAAAAAGTTTAAAATGTTTGCACCACTCAAAAAATGATTAAATTTTGTAAAAATGCAGATGCTAAATAGAAAAATCAAAATACTTCTGAACAAAAAGAAAAGAATAGAGAGCCACAAGTGAAAGAAAATGTAAGGCTAGCAAAGCCTGATAAACTTTCTGACCTGAAGTCAGTGATTGATGAAGACAGCTAACTTCTCATAACTGAAATAAAACAAATGTGCATGAAATGGATAGCTTAAGCTCTCATATATGGTGGCCACAAAAAGTTGAAAATTGTTAAAGGAAATGTTTCCTGTCAAAATAGTTTTATTTTGATATTAAACTAAACTCAGTGGCGCGACAGGCCATAGAGGGCCAAGGCCTACTGTCCCCACCTCAGTTTTCTTGACCTTTCAGCTCTGAGGTGCAAGAGCAGATGTTCCGGTTGAGTGGTCAGCCCAACACGGAACCCCCAGTGTTTAGCGCCCAAGCATGCTTGGTACTCATTTTATCAACCATCTGAAGGTATGAAAGGCTGAGTGAACCCTGCCCGGCCCAAGGATTGGACCAGGGCCCTGTGGCACGACAGCGCGAAGCGCTACCGCTCAGCCACCGAGCGTCTTATTTTGATATTAGTAATCTATTATTAGAATCTTTCTAATTTTGTAGCTAAAATTAATACTTGTAATAAGCTATTAATTAAGTTTTTAATTTTTAAATGGTTATATTAAAAAAATATACATAAAACAATATTCTTAAATTGTCTTAATTTTATTCTTAAAAAATCCCTTCTTTTTTTTTAAATTGTTGCTTGAATATTGTATGGTGAGCCAGTCAAACCTGCTTTTTTAAAATGACTGTAAAAAAAAAATGGATGGATATTTCAAAATTTTATTGTTACTATCTTAATCTACATTAAAAAGCATTTAAGAAACAACATTCACTGTTTAAAAATAACCCCAGTAAGATGGTGTCCTTCCCGATCGAGACATTCTTGTAGGCGATTTCTGAAACTGCCCATCGCTAAGCACGGAGCATACGCTAAGAAATTCTCTCGATTTCCAACCGGATTCTTCTCTTGAGTTCCCCAAGCGTTGGAGGTCGTTGTTCAAAGATTTTGCTCTTCAGGTACCCCCCACAAGAAAAAAATCGAACGCTGTGGGGTCAGGCTATCGGGGAGGCCATGAAATTACTCCATTTCGGGATATCACCCGATTTGGAAAAACATTGTTGAGAAACTTCATGCTCACACGCAACATTGTTGTTTAGACCACTGCTCCATGGCGACTAAAATGCTTAGTTGTGGGGGGCGCAATAGTGACCTTGGTAACTCGCTCTGCCCACTTTCACGGCTGTCCCATCCTTTTCAAAAATGCAGGTTTGACTGGCTCACCCTGAATAAAATATTTTTATGTTTTAAAATGTCATTTTAATATTTTTGTCCTCTTCATTTTCAGTCAATTGAAGAAAAAATATGACATCCACGGGATTCCAACTTTAATAGTTATTAAAAAAGATGGAACTATAATCTCTACCAATGGAAGATCTGATGTTGAGAAAAAAGGAGCATCTGCTTTTAAAGAGTGGAGCAAATAATTTTTTTTTCTTTTCATTCATGCAAAGTTTAAAATATATTTTGTTATCCAATAAGCATGCTTAAACTATTGTTCCAGCTATGTTACTCAGATATATAATGGTTATATGATTTCATATTGAATATTATTAATATTTATTACATGGCAATAAACCTTTTTAAATATTGTGAAAAATTTTAAATATTGTAATTTTGGTATTTTATTTTTTATGCAATGTGAATAAAGTAATTTTATTTAAGCTTGTCTATTTTAAAAGTATTGAAAATTATGGCTAGTTTCTTTGAACTGTTAACTGAAATTAAAAAGCATTATTTGTAAAATGTTACCTGAAATAAAACATTCCATGGTTATTCAATTATGTGATCTTTTTTTTAAATATTAATTAAAACTAAGAGTGGTATCCCATTAACAAAATCTGCTCAAACTATTTATCTCAACCAAAACATAAAAATGTTTACCCTATTGTTTAAAAGATAAGATAAATTCAATATTTTAGCTCTTCCAAAATGGATATCATTTATCTAATAAACATATATTTGCTTTTAGTTAATATTGCATCAATATATTTAAGGAATAAAATTATCATCATTCATTTTACCTTACTCCACAAAGCTGTTTTAGAACTAAGAATTGATTTATAATTTTACTGATTAGTATTATCTAAAACATTGATGCAATACAATGAATGAAGCATAAGAAACAGCTTGGGGGCCATCCACAAATGCTGTCATGCTTTGAAAGGGAAGAAAAATTTGTTAAATTGTGACAATGGTAGAAGAGTATTTTACATTACACAGTTGATTGGAAAATAAAGAATTTTTTTCCATTTATAAAATGGCCACCTTAAGAATATTTTGAGATACATACATTCTAAAGATACATACATTCATTCTCAGGTCAATAAAGATACATACATTCTAAAGACAATATCTAATCAAGACAAGTTTATATTTCTTTAGTTTAAATAATGTATCTATAATCTTTGATAATGTATCACACATTTTGCTTAAAATAAATAAAAACATATAAAATCGGCAGATTAAATATCTATTTATATATTTTTTTCCATCTTAAATTTATTTTAAAAAAATCAAACTGCTGTTTTCATCCAATGATTTTGTTTTGCATTAAAAAAAATATTGAAATTGATTAAGATTTAAATTATGTTCTAGTAAAAAATTTAAGTTTGATAAAAATTTAGCATTTACAAATTTGAAAAAAAATAGTGCCGGTCATTTTCTGAAAATTAGAACACCTATGTTGAAATACCCATGTACTCAATGAATGAGCACATTAGCTTCTCAATGAGAGGTAGAGTCATGGTAGTGAATAATTCTGATTTCTTTTGATTTTATGATAGTGTATGTAATTTTATAAATGTTCCTATGAATTAATGTGGCAAATGAATTGAGATAATAAATTCAAATAAATAACTTACTTTGAGGCAATTTTTTTAAAAATTCAATATGTGTAAGAGTGTTTTGTTATCTTAAAGCTGGGTTCATGATTTATTTTATTTAAATCAAATTTTATGATTAATTTTTTTGATTAGAACTTTCAAAACTATGAATACAATGAAATATTATTACAAATATAACAATATGTTTTAAACTAATGCTATCTAAAAAAAACTGTCTTGTCGTAATTCATTATAACTTGCATAGCAACCATTCGGAAACAAATTCATGATTCAAATTATAGAATAGAAATATATCATAAACTACTTAAAAAAAGGATTTTAATAAACAAACCACAAACTTTAATTAAAATTGTTATTTTTTTCGTGTTTTAACCTTTGAGTGGACAAAATAACTAAAACGAGTTATTTATTTAAGTAGGTACTAAACATGGTTTTTTGAAGCTCTTTTTTGCCAAGTAAAATATAAGCGCCACATTTGAAATGCCTTTCACTTGAAGTTAAGCTATAATTTTATACTGTACCTACCATCTTGGGGTAAAGAATTATTTGGGCTTTAAAACGGACAAATAACTAAAATGTATTTAAAGCTATTCAACTTTTTTAAAAATCGCCAATTTCGTGACATTTTTCCACCATGATGAAAATCAACAATATTAATGCCTTATTTTATTTTTTGCTAATTTTTATGAGCCCAGATAATGCAGCATTGAGTTAGCTTTTAAAAAATTAGGCCACAAATGCTTTTCATTTTCCCAAAACCTTGGCCTTTCTCCATATTAAAGTTTTGACTCATTTTCAGAATTAACATTGTGGGCGCTAGCTAAAGATAGTTTAAACTTGACCTAACAATTATGAGTATTAACTGTTGCAAACTGACATCAGCTATAAAATTAGCATATTGTTTGCAAAAACAAAAGAACAAAACATCATTTCATGCAACTACAGAGTCTTCAAAAAACAGTCTTATGTAACTGATTCATTTATCAGTACTTGCTCTCTTATTAAACGCTTGACTTAAATTTTTCATTTGTTATTGCAATTTTTTTAATAGAAAACCTGTTAATATTAAAGAAACTGTTAGAAAAAATAGATGTGAAAGAAACAATTCCCTTGCTGGATTATTTAATTTCTATAACAAAGAGACATCTTCAGTCTCGGTTGCATTTTTAAATATTTAAATTTAATATACACTAACACAATATTCTGGATTAAGCAAAAAGTATCTCAATGAATCATTTTTAAAATGAGCAAGTATTTTCTAACTTAACCATTTCCTAAGCAATTGTGGATTAAACCAAACCAAAGGTCAAAAATTTCTCTGGACTAATGCCAAAGAAGCTAGAGCAGTATATATTTGAGTAATCATATATAAAACATTTTTTTTAACATTATTCCTTACAAGTACTGTCAGGGTGCGTAGCCTTTTTAAAAAGAACTTATTTTCGATTTATGTTTTTTAAATGTGCTTTTTCCATAGGGTGTTTTTAAAAAGTGCTATATTTTCTCCTTACGAAAATGAGATATTTTTCTTTACCATATTTATTTTAGCCACGAATTATGCAAAATGACATTGTTCTATTTAACGTTTTAACAATTAATTCGTCCCGCAGTAGACTGATCGTTAAGACACGGTTCCCAGCAGATCACCGAAGTCAAGCATCACTGGCTACGGTCAGTGTGCGGGTGGGTGACCACTTGGATCAGTCTGCGTAGGGACCGAGGGTGTGCGGTATTGGTCCTCGTTAAACTGTGCTACCGTAAAGTGCTCGACTTCGCGCGCAGGTCGTCGGGCTACCGAAGCGGGGGTGCCATCCCCTCCGCAGAGGATCAAAATTGTGATGGCATGTCTTCGGATCATCCTCCGCGATGTTTCCCAGACCGTCGCCAATAGCCCGTTGTGCAGCTCTAGTGCGACGTAAATTAACAACAAAAAAAAACACTAACAATTAATTCAATCCCAATGTATTTGGGCGTGCCATCGGTCCGTAGCGTATGAAAACGCCATTCGTTTTACATGTTTGATGAATTACTTGTGGGTCCGCATATGCAGAGCAGGATTTACTGGGAAGGATTTTTGCCCTCATGTGAAACTCTGCTACATTCTCAATTTCAGGATTCAATTAGTTTTGAATTGATAATTTAAAAATACTTCATATTTATAATAGGTAATAATTATCTTTACGCTAAAATTTTGGATTTTTGACAATTGTCAAGAACTATGTCAAAAGGGTTATTTTGAAATCTAAAGTACTTAAGTAGAAGACCCATACTGACCTTCAAAATCAACAAAATTCAATTTTACTGGTAACTCATTTCTTTAGGAATGAGGTAAAACCCTCAGAAAAGGAGTATCAGAAAAAAATTTTGAACTAGAATCCATAACGAAAACTATTTTCAAAAATCTTGAAGAATTATATACATTTGTTTAACATTTCAATGTGCAATAAGTAACTGTAAATTTATAAAAAGCAGCACTTTTAAAATTCATGATTGTACTAAAAATTAAACCGATCTGTAACAAACAGGGTTTGAAAAATTCCAGCTCTCCTAGGTTTTTCCTTTAAAAAAAAAACTGGGGTTACTAGGGTTTTTGATGAAAACCCCAAGTTTTTTTCAAAATTTATTTTAAACTTTTATTCCGGAGTACTAAATAAGAATGCACGATTTTCTTCTATCTAGAAAGTTAAATATAACTTTATAACTTGTAACTTGTTTTGTTGCAATGTAAAAATTTAAGTTGTTATTAATAAAATAAAAGTTTTAGATAGGCTATGCTATTATTTTTATTTCTTAAGAATAAGTAGATTGTTTTATAAAAATTTAAATCTACTCAATTAAAAGATCACAAACTTTTTGTTATTAATGTCTGTTAGAATAAAATTCAAACTTAGATTTTAATAATAATTTTATTCAGTTAACTTTACAACTTAATACGCTTTGATTTTTCATAAATTTCTGATTCAGTTTCAAGCTGTTCATTTGCGATAAAAATAAAATATCAAATGACAATATTGGTAGAGAATAATATTAAGAGTGATAGTGAATGATAAAGAAATATTACAAGTAAATATCTATAAATGATGAGAAAATAAATAGTTTATCTGTATTTGTCAATTAAGGAACCTTATCAATTTTGGATAATGGATCAAAGGAATACGTTGATACCTTTGAAAAATCATTTTAGACTCTTTTATTTATATGTTTCACCGAGAATTAATAATAAAAAAAACCTATTGGTTTGAAAATTGTAAATCTTCTCAAACATAATTGTATTTCTATTCTATTAAAAAAATTCATAAATGTATTTATTGCTATGAATCTAAGGAAATATTAAGTTTAGCCTAATGAAAAAAAGTGGAATGATTTAGGGTGCTTAGATATTATTATGGCCTGTTTTTACTGGAAATAGGACTTATTTTAACATGACATAGTTATGGAAACTACTCTCATGCATAACTCTAATTTTAGTATTAATTCTTTTAACATGTGCCCTTATAAATGAAATATTTTATTAACAGAAAAGAAAGCATTTTTTTGGCGTAACTAAATATTAGCAGGATTGGTCCACAACTGAATATGTGATTAGAATATAAAAACTTGTTATAATTTTTTCAGTGTTTTTCCCAAATTTATTTACTTTTTTTTAAATATATGAAGAAGAAAAATTTAAAGTCTTAATTCATGCACTTAATTTATAATTCAATTTCAATGAAATCATTGAAAATGGAATACATATTAATTTCATAAATGTCAGTGGCTCTTTACAATCAGAAAATATTTTTTTAAAAAAACCGATCCACGTTTGCAAAAATTGCCTGGTCTTAATTTGGCGAGCTCTGTTAATAAATACAATTATATCAATACTTTACATTGTAATAAAAAAATTTTTTTTTATTATTTGTTATTTATTGATTGATTTTTCTTTTTTTATAAGG